CCCCCTAGCTATGCCAGAAAGCACGGTCCTAAACCACCTGCATCTTCTTATCTTCTTGACTTCCTGCATATCACTCCATCTAGTAGGGAGTCGCCCTACACTACGCCTACCGGTACGAGGCTTCCACTCGAGAATCTTTCTTCCCCATCGGTTATCGGTTCTTCGAGCTATATGGCCGGCCCACTGCCACTTCAGCTTACTAATCCGTTGGGCTATGTCGGTCACTCTTGTTTTACTGCGGATATCCTCATTTCTGAGTCTATCACGCAGAGAAACTCCTAGCATAGCCTCCATAGCTCGCTGAGCGACCTTGAGCGTCCTCATACGGCCAGCAGTGAAGGACCACATCTCAAATCCGTAAGTCATCACTTCTTAATTAGCTTTTAACGGGACGGCTACAATCCCATTACATTATAAAATCTAATAGTTGGTATATTGCATTAATATAAGCTACAATGGTTTTAGTAACTTGGGAACATAGAATCCGCGATCCAGTTATTTTGAGTTTTCTCTGTTATAGATCACCATTAAACACAGGCTTACGTTGGAAAAGCATGCTACAGCTGTATTATGTCTGTAGTACGAATAAAAAAAACTTCATGCTGTTGAGTGTAGTAACCCTGAGTACTTTTTAACTAGTAACGAGGTATTCCATCTTCGTACTCTGTGTTGACAATGCATTTTGATTCCTAAATGCTAATAAATGTATGTGTCTGGGTCACCTTCACTTACCATCAGTTGGACTGTGCACTAGATTGTCACTAACACTTCTATTTAAAAATTACAAAGGTCACACATAAAGTTGCCGTGTAGTGGTAACGTAAGTGAACCCACTAGCCCATATTATCAGTTTAGGTATCGTATCTTTCCCACAACAATTCAAAAAAATAAAAAAAATGTATTGGCTTATCCGTCTGTGAAGTATAGCAACTATTCAAAACAATATATGAGATAATCTATATATAGGGAGACCTATATTAAGTAGTGGACTATTTTTAATGCCGTAATGAATGAACCATAGCCTTTCCTTTTAACAATCCAAAATATTGTCTGCTAAACAAAGTTGCCAATTGTATTGTATGAAAGGATGTAGCAACATACTCGTACCCTTGAGTAATGTCTGTTTTTACTTAAATTTTATCTTTTTAAAGCCATTCCACAATATTTTGCTGAAGTAACACGTGCCTTTTTAATTACCGTACGAGCGTGTTAACTCGCAGAATGAAACCCTAAACGATTCCCTTGTATTTGTTCAGCAGAAACCAAACAACGCACTGTTAACACCTGCACGCGATTGTTTAACATACAGCTGACGTGTGTATGCCCTTACACCGACTTTTACTTCATTTATTTTTGCCGGTGAGTTCAATGTGGAAAGGCTTTAATGAGCTATGCTACTTTACACTTTATATAAGAAAGATAAGGGGCAGAATGGCTTACCTTGGTTTAAGATCAAGGCATTCGTTTACTCATTTTCTTTTATAAGTGCTTTCTGTTAGTAGTAAAAAATTTCTAAACTTAAATACGAATTCGCATTATCAAGGGTCATTTTGAATTCATATTAAAATATATATGCATGATTTATTCCAAACAGACGGTTTACATACACAAACATTTTAGATTCACCTTGACGATATTTCATGATAGATCTTAACCTATGGAATTGTTGTATTGTATGACGTAATGGAGTAGTTTTTTTACGAAATCTTTAAATTATAGAAATATTCGCCTAAACTATTAACATACAGAGTCGGCAAGGGACGCCCTAGATGGAATTTTATCGACCAAATTGGCGATATATTATTGAGACGTAAAGACGGCGAGAAAGGTGTGTTAGGATCGTGCAAAATGGAAGTTTGTAGTTTCTGTCTACCCTTCTGGGTGACATAAGTGTATTGGCAGTTTCTTGATGCCCTTGCTATAGAAGTCTCGAAACATGAGAATCGATGAATATTTTAAAGTATGCTGCCTATCTGATTTCTTTCTCTTTGTCGCTTCTGACAACACCAACAGGATGGTATCGGGCAATGGATATTCTTACGCCATTGACGATAATATAATTAAATTACTCTATATTATATTTTAACTTAAACTTTTATATTTAACTTCATTTCACATAGCGAAAATTCTTTCCTCGATTTGCAGTACATCTCTAAATCGCAAATCTAAATTGCCCATGTTCCACAACTAAGTATATGGTAAACCTTTCAGTTTCAGATAACGGAATTGTTGTGAAATAAGAAAATTGTATTGAGATGGTTGTTTTCGGTCAGATGGATCTAAGCAGTATGTTTGAAACTTTGCAATCGATTCTCATAGCTTTTAAACTAATTTAAGCCGTGAAGTACTCAGCTACTAACTACATGCATTGTAGTTTTATCTGTTAAAAATATTATTTCGCATTTAATTTTCATTGCTATCCATTCATATTTCCAAAACTTATAATGGTATGGTGATAATTGGCGTATATGGTATACAACAACCTAAAAAAAAACTCATTGCTATAAATGACACATATTTTATAAATGTCACGTTATATAAATGACAAATTATATTATATAATTTTTTTCTTACCATGATGTAAAAATATGTTCCTCATCTAAAATTTCCGAAGCAAAACAAAGTTTTACAAATGCTAATAAGTCAATGAATGTCAACGTTTCACTTAAGAGTAAGTATATTTTATTTTATGCCGGACACACACATATGCAAATCCATGAGTGTAGCAGTATTTGACAAAATTTACAATATGGCCGAGCTGTTTGAGCTGAGCAGCTGAGCAATTTTGTTTATTCGCATGCCATTTCACACCCTCATACATTGGCGGCGTTAGTTATAAACAACACATTGTTATTTATATAGGAGACAACTTTACTCTTAAAAAACCCTTAAAAAAGAACACCAGGAAATGACGCCGGTAGAGGATATACCTTGTATGGCCATAAATTCTTCTTGTTACTGTCCCAGAAGGAGGGTAAATGGGTGATGTTTTTCGAGTGTATGTATATATGGTCAATAATATGGTCATTTATTTGGCACACTCTATAGCCTCAACGGCTTATGGATTAGAGTTTAATATTGTGGGGTGTTGTTAGTTTCCTCTCAGTTGTGGAAGTGGCATAACATTCTTTTCTTTTCCCATAATGTAATTTAACACAGTTATGGTGAAAATTAATAAAATAAATAGCAGAAAACCGATCGAATTTCAACTTAACTTCCAAATTTGAATTTGAAGAATATTTTTTTTATTGTTACAATTTTTATGGACAGACATTATAGATTTCCAAATGAGCATGCATATCAACTATAGTTATATCATTTCATAATTACAAAACTGCACGCTCGTCTGTTGCTAGATTATTCTGTTATTGACATAGATATTATAACATAGTGGCCATTCTTACAATAATTGTCCTCAATTTTTAATTACATTCATCTGAAATAAACCAATGGCATGCCAGTTTCTGTGAACGAATTACCTATACTTAGTCAGGTCATAAGTTCTGTGAAAAACTTTTTATAATAGAAATTATATATGAAATGAAAGGTAATTTAATTTAAAATACAATTTTATTTACATTATTCAAAATGCCCTCCCTATTTTAGTCCACTCACTTTAGGGAAAAAAGAGGTCAATCTCGGAATTTGAGATAAAAAGCTGGAAACTCGTGTACTTCATATTGGCGTTCTAAAAGTTGTCTCAAAAGTTTCATTTTATCTTGTGTCTGCGTCGTTAGTTATTCGAGATCAAAGGTCATGAAAATAGGTTTTTGCAATTATCTCCGTTTGTATGGTTCCAATCACTTCAACACCTATTATGGTAATTAGAGATAAAAAATTTGCCACAACTTTTGTCTCAACTTTTTTTCTATACGCTCAACCCTTTTCGAGATAGAGGGCGGAGAGCACCCAGCGCTCAGGCATACATACTGTAATACAAGGTCAACCGTGAATCTCGGTGAATAATACCTTGTATACAGTTACTAAATCATTAAAATATTATCACCAATAAATAATTTGTATTATTTATTAGTTAATATTAATACACTATATTGAATGATGTTTATATATATATATATATATATATATATATATATATATATATATATATATATATATATATATATATATATATATATATATATAAAGGTGTAAAAACCAGTGCCGAGGTGTACCAAAATACCGCCCTAAGAAACATAGTGGAACCTCTTTCTCAAACAATGTTCAAAAACAGACATTGGATATTCCAACAGGACTGCACCAGCTCATAGGGCACGAATCACGCAAAACTGGTTGATCGTCTTTTAATTTATTATTATAATATTAATTTAATGAATTTATTATAATGATCGCGGGTGTCCTAACTGTACGAGGTCAACCGGTCCTCTTACGATCTTCGAAGCTTGAATATTTAGCGAATCGTTCGATAGGTGCGATAAACAAATCGTAGGGTTATTTTCAATTTTGTTGAGTATTGAAAATCTCTTTTGGCGCGAAACCACAGCGGTGCAACGCGATAGCCGCTACTCTATTTTCTTTCTTCGACCACTCCATATTTGAAAATGAATGAAAATTAATGTCTTTTTTTTTTCGGCAAGCGCCGGTTCATCATCAAGTTCATCTAGCCAGTATTCAAAATTTTTAAATAATAAGGTTTTGACAGAACTTATGACCAGACTAAGTATAAATAGGATTCTGGTTGCACATATTTTTTGTATGAAAATAAGTGAATTTCGTAGAATATAATTCTTTTTATTTATAAATGTTATATTTATATCGTACTCTTATGCACACCTTTCTATATATTTCGTTTATATTATGAATTTATTAATGTATCTATTGTTTTATGAAAATAAATTTATTCAGGAAAACGTGATAAGTTTTATTTTTGGAAAGATTTTTAAACAGATGCTAGAATAGAAATATATTTCTAGAAAATTCTAGAGACTTATATTTCATTTTGTTACAGATCAGGCTGGTGACCACATGTCGGCTTCATAATGGTCATCGTTACCAGAGTGAGTTACTGCTTGGAATGTTCACACTTTTAAATTTTAACAAAATTATGTTTAACACCAAAATAAGTATTAATGCAATGAAATGCATACAAAATAAAAGTTTATGATTTATTGATTAGCGAAGGTTATTGAAGAGTTATTGTTTAGCGATGCGTTCTTAAATTACCATTATTTTTTATTTTCATATCAAACGTGCAATTTAAAGGTTGAATTAAAAGTAAGTAAACCAGATTAACAGATATTTTCAATAAGTGAGTACCTAAGTCAAACTGATATATAACCTTTTTGATTGGAAACCCCGTATGAACAATAATAATGTGTGAGAACGGATGTTCAACTTGCCCACTTGCTTACGCATGAAATCATTATTAGCGGTAAAACAGCGTAACGCACCACGTATCCAGCGTAGCGTGATTACAATTTGACCGTACCATAATACGGTGAAGGACGAAAATACACACGTTACTTTTTTTTTAATTAAAAATCATCTCACTCTTGACGTCCATCTAGCTTAAGGACAAAAATGAGGTCTATGATGGAGTGAGCTTGCCCAGGAGAAGATTAATAAAACGTTGAAAAGGTTAGGGTTATACGAACTTGGAAAATCAGACGCCGGCGGGACATTCTACTCCTTGGCTGTCCGCTTCTATTATAAAAGATGACTTATAGCGTTTAGTGTGAATATTCGGATTGTCAACCAAGTGTACCTGCGGTACTTCTGGTACTTGATAGGAGAATGGAGATGGCGGTATAAGCTTATAAAGCTTATAGGCACACTCTCCGAATCTGTAAAAGAACGGCAGTCAAGCAATTTGGCGGCGGTGAACTAAGCTGTGAAGCTTAGTCTACACCAGGTTTTTGTCGCCGACAAGCCTCTTGGCTCTGCGTTACAGTAAGTCGAGTGCGGCAAGTTGATTTTTTGCTGCGCCATCCCAAAGGTGACTACAATACTCCATGCATGTTCGGACTTGAGCCTTGTATAAAGTTAGAAGCTGTCGAGGCGTGAAGTATCGCTTTACCTTGTTTAGAATACCCAGTTTTTTGGCCACAGTTTGTGCTTTCAACTTAATGTTGGCGCCAAAGTTGAGATTTGCACTCAAGTGGATGCCGCGAAACTCGAGACGAGGTACATCAGTAACCTTTACTGATGTACCTCGGAAAGTAGCAGTCAGATCAAATGGACTCTGTTTTGCGGAGAAAGGTCAGGCCTGCGATTTGGCGGTATTATGCATTTTCATCATCATGGACTTAATTACAAGATAAAACCAAAATAGATTAAGTATAATTTTTAAGTAGAGGTCACTTTCTTCAGATTAGTCACAAAATAATACTCTTACTCTGCTTCTTATAGAGAAATTGTCATAATGAATAGAGTCACCTATAAACAAGATAAACTAGAATGACTTAGAGGGAATGTCTAGCCAAGGTTTCGCATTTAATCTTCACTTCTATTTCTCTTTTTATCTTATAGCGTTTATTTCCGATATATAGTTATATTACAGAATCGAATCAGATTCGAATAAAATAAATACGGCTTGCATAGAATGAAACCATAAAGTAATACGGGCCACCGATCCGCCGCGCCGATGCGATGTTGCTATAATGAAACAGATTCCTTACATGACAGCAGTTGAACAAAGTATCTAATCGGATCGAAAAATAAAGTCAATTGTTAACTATTAATGATGCGACAATCATCTAAATAAGATGTATTTATATTACCTAATAATGTAAATGATAGTAATGAAGAGTAAATTTAACTTTTACGTCTCTCACTTGATGGAGTGAAGCACTGTTAAGACGTACGAGAAGTCTATAGTTGCAGTTGGCTGAAGACCGTGTTTTGTGACATTCCTTATGGGAGGTCTTTATTTAACAGTGGATTTATAATGAGATGTAAATAATGCTAAAGGTGAAAGAAGAAAAAGAAGATAGTGAAGATACGTATGTCGTATGCGCACTATGGGTTAATGGAATAAGAGAGTGAACTGCGATGTTTGGTCCTGACGCGAATGTCTTAGTACACGGCGACGTTCACTAAACCGGCAGCTACCAGTAAGAACACGGGCACGAACTAAAGAATGTCCTAAGAGGCAGCTGAAATGTTTCGGTTTTGGCAATTCCTTAGTGTCAGGTATAAAAAAATAATTTTAAACATTTTATGAATGAATTTAACGTACTTCTTACAATAAAACTTTACTCACAAACTAAAACAGACGTAGTATTGTTACGAGTATAATATATAAAGTAAGGCGTCACGAAATTTCCCATTAAATGAAAAGAAGACTTATATGTGCCGCAACAGGGTTTTCTATTACATATCTAATTAAAATAGAGTTATTATTCGCAAAAAATAATTCTATGGTATACTTCGCAAAGAATAAAATAACCAATATACCTAATCATTAGCTGTGTAACCCAAATCGATCGATTCGATCGAGAACAATCAAACAATAAGTAGGGTTATAAGTTAATAAGTAAATCTTATTTAAAACACCGAAGATGAAGCAAATAATGCTAAAACTAAATTAATGCATCAATTTACTTTTAAATTACAGTAAACTAAAAGTAAAAATAAAGGCACAGAGTACATTAGGGCCTTCTTTCATTTCTGAGAGCGTTTTGGTGCGATTAGTGCGCCGCGCTGCTCTAGTGCGTAAAACTTAAATACTAATGTGACTTTAAGTGGAGATACGTTATTCTTGTTGATACCGTTTTACTGATAATCACTCTAGATGCAAAGCTTCCGTTAGGCCTATACGAGTAACTAAACCAGCAAACAAACTTAGTTCTGCAACGTACACTGTAAAAAAGTTTTTTAGTCTCACGCAATAACTTTAAAACTAAACGCATTTAAAAAAGATTCCAAAATGCAAGATTATTTGTTAAATTATGTATTTTTTTAAAGAATCCCAGTTGTAAATTAATTTTCCTTTCCTGTCTAAAATGATTATTGTGTACCTCAAAGCTTTCCTCAAGCCTGTTACTTAAGATTCTAGTTTGAGTGCAGCGGGGGGAACCTGTTGACGAAGTGTGAGCGAGACAGAAATCCTCTTTTCACGTAGACACAAAATCACCACGAGCCATAGTAATGTTGAATCAGTGTATTTGCTTTAAAATTAGGATTATCATTCATTATCACCAGATTCTGGCTTGACGTCCACTTTTGGGACATCAACTTCTGGAACATCATCATCATCATCATTACAGCCCTTCACAAGTCCACTGCTGAACATAGGCCTCCCCCAAGCAATGCCACAAAGCACGGTCCTGAGCCATCTGCATCCATCGACTTCCCGCATGTTTTACCAGGTCGTCACTCCATCTAGTGGGGGGTCGCCCTACACTACGCCTACCGGTACGAGGCTGCCACTCGAGAACCTTTCTTCCCCATCGGTTATCGCTTCTTCGAGCTATATGGCCGGCCCATTGCCACTTCAGCTTACTAATCCGTTGGGCTATGTCGGTCACTCCGGTTTTACTGCGGATATCCTCATTTCTGAGTCTATCACGCAGAGAAACTCCGAGCATAGCCCTCTCCATAGCTCGCTGAGCAACCTTGAGCGTCCTCACACAGCCAGCAGTGAAGGACCACGTCTCCGATCCGTAAGTCATCACTAGCAACACGCACTGGTTGTACACTTTAGTTTTCAGAGATTGAGGTATACCTGACGAGAAGATGTGTCGTAATTTCCCGAACGCTACCCAGCCGAGTTGAATCCGTCGATTGACCTCTCGGTCGAAGTTGGACTTACCTAGTCGGACTATTTGTCCCAGGTAAACGTACTTGTCATTACCTTCGAGCTTAGTGCTCCCAACAACTATCGGCATAGGTGTGACATGGACATTAAACATGATCTTTGTTTTGTCCATGTTCATCTTAAGATCTATCCGTTGGGAGACACCATTGAGGTCATTGAGCATAGTGCTAAGGTCCTCCAGGGATTCTGCCATAAGGACTATATCGTTGGCAAATCGAAGGTGAGTATTTTACTCGCCATTGATGTTAATACCGTATCCTTTCCAGTTCAGTAGCTTGAAAACGTCTTCCAACGCAGCGGTGAAGAGTTTCGGGGATATAACGTCATCCTGTCTTACACCTCTCTGCAGTTGGATAGGATTTGAACTCTGGTTCTGTACTTGGATAGCCATCGTAGACCTACTGTACAAGCACTTCAGCACTTCGATATACCGACAGTCAACTTGACATCGCTGAAGAGACTGTAGTACCGCCCAAATTTCGACGGAATCAAAGGCTTTCTCATAGTCCACATACGCCAGGCAAAGTGGCAGATTGTACTCTTCGGTCTTCTGTACAATCTGCCGCAGGGTATGTATGTGGTCTATGGTACTGAAGCCTTTTCGGAAACCGGCTTGTTCGGGAGGCTGGAAGTCGTCGAGTCTGCGTGCGAGACGATTCGTAATGACTCTCGAAAACAGCACGTAAACGCGGCTCAGAAGGGAAATCGGTCTGTAGTTCTTCAAGAGAGCGTTGTCGCCTTTCTTAAAGAACAAGACCACCGCACTTCAGCTCCACGTCTCCGGAGTAGTGCCACCATGGAGGACGGAATTGAATTGAACCCCTTCTAGGACAACCTGTATATATTTATTATAAAATATATTATCTAATAGTTATTATAATACCAGCCCAGACCAGCGACAGTAAGCAGCGTCAAGTTTTATCCGCCTGTCAAGCCAAACGTTGAACAAACGTTGTTAATTCTCTCTACGACGGAAGTCCATGTTTAGCAGTGGAAATTTACTGGGGGATGATGAAGAAGGGTGATATTTACTTTTATGAAAAACTTTTGTATGTACATAAAATATACCATATAAAAATACACGTTAAACACAAACACTCACGCCTGTCACTCAGAGAGTAGACAGAGACTAGAGTTCCATCTGGCACGATTCTGACAGACCTCTTTCGCCGCCTCCACATCCATATATCTTCGCATACATGCTCGTCGGTTAAGGGTACTACTTAATTTGGCTCATCA